GTGTGGATGTTCCCATTGAGTTACTTTGTTAGTTAGTAGGTTCTACGTGCAACAACTTCAGCTCAGTTTATTTATTTGTTTAAATGCACAGTATGTGAATCCTGCTGGTGGTTGTCTCTACATCAAGCCAGTGACAAAAGATATAGTTTGTTCATGCTGTAAAGTAGATTACTGATATTGTGTTTATTTTGTTTTCTGTGTGGCAAATGTCTGTTGGACAATGAGGGCTTAAATATCATGAGCTTATTTATGTCACCCTCAATGAATTAAAAAAAAAAAAACAAAACAAATAAACATCTGGAATGGTTGGTCTGCTTTTAAAATGATTGTTATAAAGTTTACATTACATAAAGGTCAGGATAAAACTCCACCTCCCTGAGTATGTGTGTGGCCCTTTAATAGGCTTCTCTATTGGTTGTGTGGGGTGGCCAGACTTTAGTTGACCTCGGTGACCTCCGCTGCTCTGCCACTAGATTTGAATCAGTCAGAAATCATGTTCAGACAGAAGGTAAATGTATATATTATTTATATATCTATTATTATATATCCTTATTTATTGTTAGTTAGTTGGTTAGTCCTTGTTTTATTGAAACTGGACATAGCAAGTTAGAGGTAGACCTGACCCAAAAAAATACCCTGCTTTGCCGTCCATTTTACTCTAAATGGGGATCATAATTTACAAAATGAGCATCAGGCTGGAATCAAAAAGTCTTGAAACCAGCCATTAAGACCGTAAACTCATTAGGAAACTCATTACTGAGGTAACAGACCAAGTTAGAAGTAGCATCATTTTCTCATAAACTTCTACACAGTCAGACTGTCTACAACCAGAGGAGTCGCCCCCTGCTGGCTGTTGGAAAGAATGCACTGGTTTGACTCTCCAGACACTCTTCATCAGTCTTTTATGTACAGCCTATGGAGATAGCCCATTATTACTATTTGTGGATAGATCAAGTCTAAAAGAATAATTTAAATATTAGTGATCTATCACAAGTGAGCAATACAAACTATAGAATAATAAAAAAAATGAAGGTAAGTTTGAGTTTACCCTGTTTCCATGGTTACAGGGGATAAAGCAGATGGTTGTGTACGATAAAATCTCAGGATCTGAATATTGTAGAAGACTTCTGGGATAGTACACAAATCAACAAAATATATAACATTAGCCGAGTTGTGTTTACACTTTTGATTGGGGAGATGTTATATGTTACGCCATTCAGCTTGTACTGGTTTATGTCTAGTAACTCATTAAAAGTAGTTGAATCAGTCATTAGCAGCTCCTGAGAAAAACAAGATGATTGACAGCCAAGTGATGTTTTTTTTTAAAAAAAATTTTTAAAGTCTTTTTTTCTGTATTCTAGGTGGATCTATGTGAAAATCTAAGAAAATATATTCCTTGCTCCAACTTGACTGAGTTCTGCCTCTGAGAAGGGTAAACATTGAGATTCCAACACTCAGAAGGAGATGGATATAACTCGTTAAGGCTGGGGTCAGGCTGAGGATTTTAAGGCCTGGCTGGTTAAGGTTAGGTTCAGGTTAAGATAAAGGGAAACAGATCAATGGGGAAACTGGCTCAGAATCTACCTGAGAGTTGGAATCTCATGCTTACACCGCTTGGAGTCATAATTCAGTCAACGGCAAACCTTCAACAAAGAGGAAAAAATTACATGCAATTTGCTGCAATCAAGTGTTAAGGATTTCTAAGTACCATGCTGTAACAGCTTGTGTTGGCATGTGGGCCAAACTGCAATAACCAGCTTGCTGGCATGCACAGTTTGCAATTCTTTGCTCAAAGTCAAGATTTTTTTAAAACCCATTTTTTGACCATGGTTCAGTTATCTATGCAACAATCCCACCTGGCTGTTACTGACATGTAGTAACAACTAATCTCTACGTATGGACTGGTTTGTACGGTGCAGCAGGCTTTGATTTAGTGCTGTGTAAATCTTAACTTCCCTAATGTTATAACCACGCTAAGTTTGAACTTACAACAGCTGGTGCACTCTGCTCCTAGTGAGTGTTTACTGAGGTTACTGTCAAGCAATGGTTTGGAATGTCTCAGCTGGTTTCAGTAACAGTCTCAGCAGCTCTAGGTGTTGGTTTAACAGTGAAGGACAATAAAAAAGATGGATTGTATTAGGTTCTGTCTGGCTTTTATACCCAGCCTGACACCTGGTGAATGTGGATGTGGAAAATACAAAGAAAGGGGACTGAAGAAATGAATAGAGACACTTCAGCACTCAATCACAATTTCCTGTCTCAGACTACCTTTTTCGTCTCACCGGGACTTATTTAATGAACAATGAAAGTCAAACTGAAATGAAACATAACTGTCAGTGCTCCAGACTCAGATAAATCGACATGTTTTTGGTTAGAAAACAAATTAAGTGAGCAAATTAGGGCCTTGTACAGGAGTAGTTTGTGAGATTAGTGTGGTGTAGGCATAAACCCACCCTAAATATAGGGCTTAGGCCATAATTTGACCCATATATCTCACCGCGTAAGTGTTATAGGGCTAAGTGGTCAGTTTAGAAACTCTGGTTCATTCTTGATGTAAATGTCTCGGTTTCATTCCGAGGCAAAGCCATTCATTTTATACAGTTAAGTCAAAGTTTTGACATCTTTAGATCCAAAGAAGCTTTCTCATGTGGTCAGAGGAGTTGCTTGAGGTGAAACTGCTCTAAGGTCAGCAAACATTACAGGCTGTACACTGATGACATCTGACAGAGGATCCCACATGTGTACTTTTCTTTCTGCTAAATACCTCAGTGAAGGAAGCCCCTGAATGTTGCGTAACACACGAGCGGATATAGACCAGTCATGTTACAGCTGCTTTTCTTCCATAATTACCATCTTTCGTCGGTTTTTAACACATTTTGCCAACTAAACAGCCAGATATTAAAGCTGCTCCTTCCAACAGTGCAGACACCTCCATGTCTGCATGTCGGTGCTTTACAGTGGCCGCTGTCGTATGGCGTCAGGTGTCGCCACAGCTACAGTGCTGTTTGTTTACCTCGTTTAAAACTAACTTTTACTGGGCAATTAATAGAAGTCTGCCCCCCACTGGAGCAGCCATACGATGGCTTATAAAAGACAGCTGCCATTTTTGGCTGCTGTCACAAGCTCCCTGTAGCTTTAAATAGTTATATACATTAAAAAGACAATTGTTCTTTTCTTGGCAAATGTAAAACAGTAGCAGTATGTTTTCAATAGTTAGGTCGTGGCTGCTTTTTCATACTGAGAAAGAAAAAAAGTCTGCTTCGGTGGTTGATACACTGTCAAGGCAACTATACACATCATGTAAATACAGCAACATTTGGATTTTCTGTCCTTTTTTATTGTATTTCATGATTGTACTCTCATCCATTGGGACACCTACAAGCTGAAAACTAAGGTTCCTATTTGACTTGCAGCTCCTCTGAATGTTTACAGTGACTCTTACAGGAGGAATCTTTAATCCAAGAACCCTCCAGGGATGATGCCGGTACTCCTGAGACATGATACACGTGACGCACAACTCAAGGTCCACGTAGAGTTGTAGAAGTTTCCAGAGCTTTTAACTGCTTCACACAGTGTTTAACAGTAGGTGGAGTTTGAGCAAACAGCATTATTCCACAGAGATTCCTTTAATGATGAATAATCACTGTATGAGCACAAGATAAATGAAGATAATTAAGAGTTTATAACAAATTATGACATTAAGCCCCCTTTTAAGGACTTTATTTTAGGTAATACTGGTGGAATATAGTAGAAATTATGTGACAAATTTGCTATTAATTAATAATTAATTAATAAAAGAGGCAGAAAACACACACACACACACACACATATATGTGTGTGCATCATATATATAGGTATATATATAAATAAAGGACAAAAGAAATAAAATCTTAATTTGATAAAGCCGCAACTAGATAAAACAACAATACAAGTGTGTGTGCTCTTTTTTTCCTCAAAGTTTTTTCATACCTTGTAATTGATATGAAAATATTTAAAAAAAACCAAAACACAACCACTTATTAAAATAGTTGACAGAGTTTTTAATATTAAATGTTTTCAGGGAGCCACATTATTATGGTCAATTCAACAAAACTCTACATAATGTAATGTGCAACAGGTAGCCTAGAAGCAGAAGTGTGACTAATGATTTAAAACAAGGAAGCATAAAACAATAAAATATGTTGGTTAACAAATTATGAGACCCTGGGAAGAAAAACAAAACAAAAAACAGTTGATTGTTGAATTGATAGTTGAAAACTATATTTTTCAGTTCTTACAATATTATGGGTTTGCTCACTAACAAATCAGAAATGTCACTCAAAACAAGAGAAAAGTATTTTAACCTATATTTCAGGGTTCATTGTGATCATACAGTGAGCTGGACCTTGTTCAGAGCAGGACTACGGAGCCCACCTGTTGCTGACAGCACCGCTCCATCCTGATCCCAGACGCTCATCCATCACATCTGAGAATCACAGTGAGATTAAAACCCTGCCTTTGTTCACGATCTGTCCCTGGAGCAGTTTTGCTTTTCCCGCTCTGACCCCTCTGCTCTGGAAATAGCGGACTCCATGTCAAAGAGTTCCGAGTTGGAGGCGTGAAACTTTCCCCTCCAACTTTTCCTTCCCTCTCCTCCTCCCCCTGGCCAATAGCAGGGCCGCCTCTAATGGCCGGGCCGCGCTGATTTGCCCGACCGGGCTGTCCTCGGAGTGACTGACAGCCCCGGGGGGAGACTCGGTCCTGTCGGTTGTGCTGCCCGCTGACTTGAGGGGTTCTACGTGACGAGCGGAGGAAGGGCAGCACTCGAGCTGAGAGGCGCAGCGGAGCAGGACAGTGAGCAGCGCAGAGGAGCAGAGAGACGGAGTCCATCCGTCAGCAGCTGGAAGGATCCGCACTAACGAACCCTTATGGCTGCTTGAGAAGTACCGATACACCCCCCCCTCCCCCCTTTCTCTCTTTCTCTGGGACGTTTGGNCACCCCCCCCTCCCCCCTTTCTCTCTTTCTCTGGGACGTTTTTTTTTTTTTTTTTTTTTTTTTTTTTTTTTTTTTTGTCCTGACCAGAAGTTTTTTTGAAAGTCATAAAAAGTTCCTCCAAGTTGAGGAGAAACAAAAACAAAAACACAAGAAGGTGAATCCACTTGCAGTGGACGTGTGTGGCGGTCATGGATACCCATATAAGATGGAAAGTTAAACGGAGAATAAGGGACGCCCAACTCACTTTAGCGGTGATTTTGCTTTTTGTCACGTCGCAAGCAAGTTCAGGTAAGATGCAGCTGGGACGATTTTGTGGATACACTTGTGGTGGAGAGAGAGAAAAAACTTTTGTGGATGTGTGCCCCTCCTCCCTGTATTGGTGCCTTAATGTATTCACTTAAGCTTGTGGGACTTCTTAAAGCGTTAAAACAGCACTTTTGGAGGGAGAAAGTGTTTTATTCTGTTGAGAAATACTCTTGATGCCACTGACAGGGTGATCTGCACAAATCCCTGCAACAACATCTGATAAATGCTGCTGTGTGCATGTATTTATGCTCTTAATGACTTGTTGTGGGGAAACCTTAGGGGTTATAAATAAAAAAAATCACTTCAACATCTTGCAGATTTATTGCAGTGTTGTAAGACTAGAAAGTTTAAATAGACTTTTTCTATTGCCCCCTTCTTCTTTTTTTTTTTTTCCAAGGATGAAAAGGATGAGCATAATTTTTCTGAGGAGGGAGGGGCTGTAGATCTTCTGAAGTGGTAGGGTGGAGCAGCCTGAAGGACTTCGACATCAGGGGGGGACACAGTTTCTAAAGCCATCGCTGAGGCTCACACAAATGCATATTTCATTAATTGCAAGCTACACATTCTCCTCGTGCTCCTCGTTAGCAGTCACATTGCACAAAGTCTGAGATTCTGCATGTAAAAGTTTGGTATGCCACTTAGATGTCAGTGCATGGAAGAAGTGTCATCAGTGGTGGGTGTCACTGTTTTGTCCCGGGGTTTTGAGAGGTCATGCCGAGGGGCTTGGGTCCGGCCTATATGTATTATTAGCACCCAAAGACTGCCTGGCATAGCTGGTGGTCTGCTGTCTACTGTGGGACTCTTGACACAGGACCTTGAGGTGAACAGGTGGCTTCTTCTGTCTGCTTCGGACCGTAAGAAAGCGTCCACGATTCTGCTGATGGTGTGAATTTGTTGCCTTGCAAAGCCCGGCGCTCAGTTTAAAGCGCTTCAGAAAGCAACATGCTATTGCGATTAAAACAGATGGAGTTGCTTTACAGCGTCATGTGGTCTATACATATAAAGGAATTACTGCAGCCTGTTTGTTTTCATGTCACGCATAAACACTGGTTGTTAACCAAACACTCAGGTCACTGTAGAACAGCTGGATCCAGATCTGGGTCACTTTTGATGAGATCAGAGGAGTCGAGTTTTGGTGGGATGCTTAAAAGCACGGGTCTGAAATCATTTTAATGCTGCAGGCTGGATTTAATCATCTCTTAAAACCGACACAGAGGAACCAGAGTCTTGTAAGTGATCCTCAGGGGTAGTGGTACACTTCCTGAAACTTGACACTTGACACATGCCAAATGGGAAATATTTTTGATGACTGAGGGCTAGCAACATGTCAGCTGCATGCAACTTTTATGCAAACTGATTATTTTGCTCTGCAAGTTTTTGGATTTTCGCTTTCATTTATAACCTTTGCTTATTTGTCCCCAGCTCTGCATTGAGTTTAGTATAGCACTGGAATAAATTCAGTTTTTGCGATACTATTTCCTTTTGATGAAAAAGAATCTTACATTTTGTTATCATGTATCTTAGCTATCAGGCTACACAAATAACAATTACAGGCAATTAATAAGTTTGTCAGCAGCAAAGTATTCATCTTGACCCAAACCCTGTGACCTCTAGCCTCAGGGAGGACCTGAGTGTACATCCAGCTGAAGACTTGCAGAGGCCTGCCCAGACACACCATCACTGCTTCTCTGGGACATGTCAGCTCTATAGACAACGTGTCTGCATAAATATGTAGATATATTACTACCTGAAAAATATAATAGAAACATTTACACCCAATAGCATGGTAGTAATTATTGGGGTTTTCCCCCCAAATAGTATCAAGTAGGAGGCATATTCTCTTATATTGGGGAATTTCTACAATAAAAAGAGCAACCATATCGATTAAACTCATTTTACAGAATTGATTTCACATTATTGTCTCACAGCTAATCATGTAGTTATCAATACTTTTTAGATATTGGGTCCAATATCTAGTTCTACAACGAATCAGATTCCAAATTAATTTACCAGCTAAGCTCAGATCATGTCATTTATTAATGAATGTAATCACATTGCAAATATTGTTATTCTAAAAATATAAATTACCATGAAATCTGTGTTTTGTCATTTTAATGTAATAATTTTAGTGCATAAAGTTGTATTAATGGGCACTTTTAACCACCAGGGGGCAGCAAAACAAGCTGATAATATAAAATTGCATTAGCAACAAATTCTACACAGCAGCTTAGCACAGACATGGAGCAACATTAGCATTTATTGGGGTTTTCTGTTTGTTAACTTAGGAACACAAATTCAATATTCCTTTTTCTTTCAGCCTTGTTTTGTTTTCCGCTAACACTCAAGGAAATAATGCAGATCCTTAGCTTGCTAAATGACCTTCAGTGCTAACTAGCTAGTTGCTAACTTTGCTGTGTACTGCTTGGTGCTAGCAGGTAGCATACAGTGAGTTTATTGGTGCTTTTAACCACAGAAAACAACTCCCTGCTGACGTTACTTGAAAGAAAGTCAATGAGAATCGTGAGAGTGAACAGAAACTATTACGTTACGAGGTGCAAACCAAAGCAGTCGGAGGAAAGATGCTAAAATGTGGCAACCGCCAATTTCCTGCGGCTTTATCACTGTGAGTCAGTCTTTCCCATTCCATAGTTTACTCTTAATAAAAAAAATGGAGACAAATGCGGTTTTAAAGTTCTTGCAGTGTCCTGAACTTGTAATAGATAAGTCTGTTTGCTTAAACAGCTGGCTTGTTAGCCTGAAATGCTACCATGGAATAGCATTTAATATTAGCATGAAACAACATTTTCGCTACTGACAAACCTAAAGCGAAAGAGAGAAAGCTTTAAAATATCAGTGTACAAGCAACAGCTCAGTTTTGTTCATGTAGCGCCGATTCACAACGTGGATCATCACAAGGAGATGAACTTATAAAATTATGCAGAGAAACCCAACAAATCCAAAGCAGCTTTTAGGCAACAGAATGAAGAAAAAACTTCGCTTTAACAGGACGAAACACACGATGCACAAGAGAACAAGAAAGAGTTTTAATTTATTTTTTGTTTTTTTGCACACTGACAAATAGTTTCAGGTTCATGGCAGCCTGAGGTTGTAGAAGATGATGACATTGATCATTTATATGTGGAGCTTTGTCAGTAGGCGTGAGTCTCAGTCAACACTTCTTGAGGGAGGTCTACTTGTCTGGGCTTTAAGTGAGGAAGTCGTACTTTTAAGCTATGTGAAATGAGGTAATAACAGAAGGCCCGAAAGACATAAAGATCAAGAATGAGAAGAGAGGTCGGAGTTCAGAGGTGAAGGTCAGGGCTTTCAGATTGCTGCTGCTGTCAGGTTTACAGTTTCATTGCCTGAAGAAAGGAATTCTTTCTGTTGTAGCTCCACTGGTCCTTGTTTCAGTAAATTTTCCTCTGACTCTTGGAGGTGAAAGAGAAAGATAAAGAGTGTGTGTTTTTATGGAAAGAATCTCTGACAGTTTTTGAACTCTGTAGTATTTATCAGTCCAATCCAGTCTTTAATGTCGGTGTGATGCAGAATTCCATTTGGGGCCGCTTTCAGGCAATAAAAGTGTTTTGTCTGTACAGTTTGCAGCTAGTTGATGTTCCAGATGTCTGTGGGACAGCAGACCTAGTGTAAATCTAGCTTATTCTGCAACAGTTTTTTTTTTTGCTGAGTTGATTCCCTTTTCTTCCTTGGTTTCCTCAATCAATGGGCTCTTTTCACAAGCATTAAAAAATCAGTTTTGACTCTTTTCTCTGTGGTTTGTTATCATGAATTAACCACAGATTTTTCTGGATGGCCTTTGTCCGTAACAAACATTCACACAAGACCAGAACCTACGTCTACAGAGTATTTTAGTCATCAAAAATACTGAAATAACATTCCTTGAATACCTTGTGCAAATGAAAACAACGATGGACTTTGGCCAAAGCCACCACTGGTGATATATGGCCGTACTGAAAGGACCAGCTGATTTGATAAGAAACCCCGAAATATAGTTACGATATAAGAATTACGTTCTATACGTATTAGGAGCTGATATTTGTTTAATCTTTATGTACGTCTTAAAGGGATAAACAGAAGAAGGCCTTGGTGTTTCACTGAGCGCCTCCCCATCTGGATTTGATAAGTTCCATTGTGCTGTCTGCTAAGCCCTCCAAAAAGCCAGAAAAAATGTCTTCCAGATGTTTTCTCCCCATTCTTGGTGGAACAGGGGACCATGAAAAAAAAAAAAACACAAAAAAAAACTCTGTTGCATTTTTTTTTTTTCAAGAGAAAACACACCATTCTGTGCTGGTTTTCGAGAAAATTTCTAATCAAACAACATCTGCAGTCTTAAAGGGAGGTTTGTAAAAATAATAGCAACGTGCCTTGTGTTTCAGCCAGGTCTGCGCATACACATCCAGGGTCATTAAAAGGTTCTTTTTGTTTAAGCAAGCCAACTTTATGACAGGGTTAAAGGTCGAGTACAGCTGGCCTACAGCTGTTTTTCATTTACAGTCTCTTTATATCTGGGCAACTCTTCTTCAAAAGGAATTTATATGGATTAGTCAATTTTGCCTTTTTGTTACCGTGTCTGAAGTTCTTCATGAGGCCAGTTAGAAGAATTCGTAGAAGTGATTGAATCCATATAGAATTAACATTAACAACACATTGCAGAACTTCCCATTTGCTTCATCTGTGAATTTTACAGGATGTAAACAGCTGGTTGCCCTGAAGGCTCAAGTGCTTTTCGTTTATGAATTAATGTCCATTAATGTCAGCTGATCTATTTGACTGAATTAAAGGGCAAAGGTACAGTTTGTTTTTCATTTAGAACAGTGGATTCTGTTGAGATCTGTCAAACTTGAGGTTGTTTAAGGTACGAAGCAGGCACGGATTTGCATCACCGTCACTGCTTTATGAATCATCTGTCAGCTAGACGTGATTCCTACATGGGAGTTCAGCTGGCTGCCACTCACCTTAACGTG